GGGCCACACTGTCTATATAAAAATAATGGTGACAGTAAAGGGGCCACACTGTCTATATAAAAATAATGGGGATAGTAAAGAGGCCACACTGTCTATATACAAAAATAATGGGGATAGTAAAGAGGCCACACAATCTATATAAAAATAATGGTGACAGTAAAGAGACCACACCGTCTATATACAAAAAAATAATGGTGATAGTAAACAGGCCACACTGTTTATATACAAAAATAATGGGGATAGTAAAGAGGCCACACTGTCTATATACAAAAATAATGGTGACAGTAAAGAGGCCACACTGTCTATATACAAAAATAATGGGGATAGTAAAGAGGCCACACTGTCTGTATACAAAAATAATGGGGATAGTAAAGAGGCCACACTGTCTATATCTGACAGGCCCAAATGCAAAAACTTAAGAGTTAGAGAACAAATAAACAAACTTTTCTCAAAAATCAAATAGTACTAGGGCATATCCCACCCAAAATACATATAAAAAATTACATCAAAATTAAATTACATTTCAGCCAATATTATATATACTGTTATTAGATGTCTAACCGACCCTCAGTATCTCCAGCCTTGTTTACTTTTTTTACGATCCCTATTTGCAGGTTTTCAAATTCCCAATTTTTATTTATCTTGTTTTCTGTTGTTTTTTTTATGCTCAACTGTGGGCAAATGATTACTTGATATGGTAGATAACTTTATACATTGTAATGATAATAAACATAGCTAGTAACTAGCTGATATGGTTCATGATGATTTACTGTAGCTATTGACTACCTGATCGCATTACTTCGAGATGTTAAATGTAAGCTGCAGCTGGAGATTGTCATGGAGATTTGTTTGAGAATATATTGAGCATTTATAGTTTCTGTTAAAAATATATAATACATAGTAATGGGCAAATATATACCTAGATTAAGATACAACCTCCCCTAAGCGCGTATAAAATCGAATTGGATGTATGCGCGCCCCACGCTTGGTATTGCCGGCGCACAAATATATAGGTAATAAAAAGGAAAAAAACGGTCTCATAGATTAATTTACTCAAATCCTGCCTAAAAGAATTTCAGGTGCTGCGGCTATTGGTTTTTTTTTGTGCATTTTTATATACGTACAACCTTAGTAGTCAATAATAAAGGTTTTAAAGTGTTGTTTAGACTGAATCTTAACTGTTTAAGGTGCTTTCCGAAGTTCTATTAGGGTTTAGTGCAGTTCCTTGTGATTCCTATTATAAACCACTATCGTGGTTCATGATAATCTTGGTTTGACTTGAACAAGTTGTAATGTCTATAAAGTCTTCAAAAGTTACTCAACTATGTATCACTCGTGCGACACCATAGTCTTACGGTTTCTGTTTTTAATATATAGTTGGCGAAACTAATGATAATTTATATCAATATTTGCGAAAGTACAGAATAATAACAATGAAATATACATGACTTATAAGTCTGAAAGTGAAAGTCTCACAGTCACAGTCCTAATTACCTGTATCGTAGTCCTTTCCCAATCCCCCTTGTATTATTATTAACTGTACAACAATCCGAAGAATGTGTACCAAAACTCGTCCACAGCTCAGTTAGAAAAAAA